TCCGCCGCAGCCGCTGGGACAGCGACAGCGAGAGGCGGCGGACCAGGCCCGGCTCCCCGACAGTCCTGACGTCCTGCACCGAGCGCGAGCGCTCGGGCCGTCGCACCAGCTCCAGCGGGGTGCCCGCCGGGCTGGGCCGGTACATGCCGTCCTCCTCTTCGGCCCCGCGGAAGGGACCGCGCTCCTCCGAGCGCGAGCGGCTCAGCAGCCGCAGCCCCCGCGACAGGGGCGACTGGCGGCTGCGCTTAAACTTGGCCTCGAACACCGCCTCGGACTCCAGGTTCTCGATGCTGCTGCTGAGGCTGCTGCCTGGCCTGGGGGGCACCATGGGCACCCGGGCTTTCTCGGCTAGCACTGGGGGAGCCCCAGCTGAAGGCACGCGTTTCTCGGGGGCTCCCGGAGGCGGGGAGGCCACCCTAGCAAACACAGCCGCGTGGGGCTTGGGCTCGGGCAGAGGCGCGGCAGGACCTTGTAGGGGGCCCTGGGCGTGGCCCGACAGCTGGAGCGACTGCATGATCTGGGCATAGGGCGTGAGGGGCAGCGCAGGGCTTTGCAGGGCCACGGGGACCTGTGCAGCCTTGGTGGCTCGGACTGGTTTTGGCGCGGCCTCTGGGACCTTCTCTTGAGCAGGCTGGGGTGCCGAGTGCTGCGGAGCATCACTGGGTGTGACGGCGGAAGGTTCCGCAGGCTTGGGGGCACTGCTTTTGGGGCCGCTGAGCCGCACAGGACTCGTTGGCTGAGCCTCACTGAGGGCAGAAAGGGAGGGAGACTCCTGTAGCCTGCGGGCCCCAAGCCTAGCCACGGGGATCTCGAGGGGGGCCCCGGCGCGGCGGTGCCGGCCCCGGGGCTCCGCCTCGCCCTGAGAGAAGCTGCTGCTCTTTTGCAGGCCCCGAGTCTCGGGTGGGAGCTGATGGTGGGGCGCTGCCTCACTGGAGGCAGCCCGTGCCAGCCGTGGGTCCCGGGCACGGTTCCCCAGGCTCTCCAGCAGGGGGCCCCTGAGGCCGCTGACCTTGCCATCCTCAGGGCCTCCCCGCAGCAGCCGCTGGGACACTGGGTTTTGCTAATTCATGGCAGGCTGGGACAGCGACAGCGAGAGGCGGCGGACCAGGCCCGGCTCCCCGACAGTCCTGACGTCCTGCACCGAGCGCGAGCGCTCGGGCCGTCGCACCAGCTCCAGCGGGGTGCCCGCCGGGCTGGGCCGGTACATGCCGTCCTCCTCTTCGGCCCCGCGGAAGGGACCGCGCTCCTCCGAGCGCGAGCGGCTCAGCAGCCGCAGCCCCCGCGACAGGGGCGACTGGCGGCTGCGCTTAAACTTGGCCTCGAACACCGCCTCGGACTCCAGGTTCTCGATGCTGCTGCTGAGGCTGCTGCCTGGCCTGGGGGGCACCATGGGCACCCGGGCTTTCTCGGCTAGCACTGGGGGAGCCCCAGCTGAAGGCACGCGTTTCTCGGGGGCTCCCGGAGGCGGGGAGGCCACCCTAGCAAACACAGCCGCGTGGGGCTTGGGCTCGGGCAGAGGCGCGGCAGGACCTTGTAGGGGGCCCTGGGCGTGGCCCGACAGCTGGAGCGACTGCATGATCTGGGCATAGGGCGTGAGGGGCAGCGCAGGGCTTTGCAGGGCCACGGGGACCTGTGCAGCCTTGGTGGCTCGGACTGGTTTTGGCGCGGCCTCTGGGACCTTCTCTTGAGCAGGCTGGGGTGCCGAGTGCTGCGGAGCATCACTGGGTGTGACGGCGGAAGGTTCCGCAGGCTTGGGGGCACTGCTTTTGGGGCCGCTGAGCCGCACAGGACTCGTTGGCTGAGCCTCACTGAGGGCAGAAAGGGAGGGAGACTCCTGTAGCCTGCGGGCCCCAAGCCTAGCCACGGGGATCTCGAGGGGGGCCCCGGCGCGGCGGTGCCGGCCCCGGGGCTCCGCCTCGCCCTGAGAGAAGCTGCTGCTCTTTTGCAGGCCCCGAGTCTCGGGTGGGAGCTGATGGTGGGGCGCTGCCTCACTGGAGGCAGCCCGTGCCAGCCGTGGGTCCCGGGCACGGTTCCCCAGGCTCTCCAGCAGGGGGCCCCTGAGGCCGCTGACCTTGCCATCCTCAGGGCCTCCCCGCAGCAGCCGCTGGCGCAGGGCCTGCAGCCTCTGGGCGTACTCGCCCTCGCCCAGGCCTCCCCGGGACAGGCGGGCGGCACCCGGGCTGGGGCTCCGGCGCTGCGGCAGCTCCACAGACGCTGCCTTGTGCAGGCCCCGGCCCGGCTCCCTTGGCCCAGCCTGGGGCAGGGCACTCTCAGCTGAGCTTCCCCTGCGGAGCTCTCCCCGCCTGGGGCTGGGCCTAGCTGAGGGCTCCTGGCCTGGGGAGGGGAGGGCCTGAGGGCTGGAGGCCTCCTGGTCCTGAGAGGGAGCCCTTCCTTGCTCTTGCCAGTCCATAGGGGTGGCAGCCCCAGCCTCTGGAGTCCCCAGGGCCTCATCCTCAGTGGGAATGTCTGTGAGGGACACCCGGGAGCCAGAGAACTCGGGCTGCAGTGGGCGGGGCACTGAGGGCAGCTCTTCCAGCTCTTCCTCTTCAGAGTCAGAGGAGGATGATAGCCCCCCACTGGGGGGTGGTCTTCTGGGCATGGCCACCCACACCCGCTCTGGGGGGGCCCGCAGCAGCTCAGGGATGGGGCGCAGCACCAGGTGGCACTTGTAGCTGATCTGGGAGCGCTGGAGACAGGATATTAGAGTCAGACCTGAGGGACACGCAGGGCAGGACTGGCCCACCCATACCCACCCACCTCAGCCCTGGGGGGGAAGGCCTAAGGCAGGCAGAGGGCAGGGCAGGAGGGAAGCTGGGAACTAGGACAATAAGAAGCAGGGAGATAGAGGAGTGGGAGGTGAGGGCACATGATAGAAAAAGGGCGGGGTTAGAGAGGATGAAAGGTGGAAGGACAAGACAGGGCCCAAGCCAAACTCACCTGCCACCTCCGCCGGGACAGGAATAGCTTTAGGTGATCCGTGCTCACCTCTGCACCCTTTGCCTGTGTCTGCAAACGCGGGAAAGAGGGCCTGAGGAAAAGCTCTCTGTCAACCAGCCCCTCACGGTTTGGCAGTGGAGTGAAAAGTCCACATGTGGGACAGTGGATGGAGCAACACTGAGTCTGGGCTCCAGGGGACCCTTTCACCTTGGGTCTGTCAGGATAACTCCCACAGCCAAGGTGCACACCTGTGGACAAATTCCCTCAACCCAAGGGGTCTGAAAACTGCGGGCTCCCAGGGGTGGGCTTCTGAGGTCACCCCAGAGGTCAAGGCCCTGTCCTGGTATACTGGCTGCCCTGGGAGCCTGTGCGCTTAGGCCCCTGGCCTGGGTCCCGGCTCCCCAACTCACCATCTGTCTCCATGTAGGGCTAGCACCCAGACATCTGGAGCCTTGGTCATCTGAGACAGATGCTTCCTCAGCTACCCACCCAGCCTCTTCTAGAGCTTGTTTCTGATCCAAGAGGAGGCTCTCACTTCAAGACTGATACCAGAATGACCTCAACCTTCAGTTGACCCAGCACAACACTCAATGGACAGTTTATTCGGGCGCTCTTTCTGAATTCATTTGGGCACACAGAAGTGAGGAAGACCAAGGCTGGTCTCAAGAGCCAAAGGAGAACCCCCCTGGGGACACTCAGGATGGGGGATCCAGACCTATGCCCTGGAGTCAATGATGCCCCAATCTGATTACTGATTTGAGCTTTGAGTTTCTCACAGCAAAACAGAAATGAAAATGCCTTCCTTTGCAGAGCTATCGTGAGGCTGATAGAGCAAATGTATATAAAATGTCTATCAGGTTGCTGCACATAGCAGGTACTCAATAAATGGAGCTGGTAGTAATATTCTCTCTCCTTCCACCTCTTATACCACCACTTCACAGGACTAGACTCACTTTAAACCAAGGATGTTCTAGAGTCTCCTCTGCGGTAGGCCTCCTGTAAAGGAATAAGGATTAAGAAGGGATTTATCGTTCATTCATTCGGTCGGTCAGTCAACACGTTTGAGAAAATGGGGCCTCTAAGCAGTTGGGGATTGCATGTCTAAGGGCAGAGGCTTGGTATGGGTAGGCAGGTGGCATGAGGGGGAGTCTGCAGTTGGGGGGACTCCTCGGGACCTCGTACTCACAACCGGTCCTGCACCAGCACTTTGATGAGGAAGCCCCGGGCCTCCCTGCTCAGGCTCAGGAATGTGGTCTCCTCGAAAGCCACATTGTAGTTTTGGATGTTCATCAGTGTTGTCCGATCATTTTCCCCAACAAATGGGGAGATGCCTGTCAGACTGCAGAGGTGGAGAGGGCTGCTGTGAGAGGTGGGCAGGGCCCTGGGGCTGTGGCAGAGATGAAGTGGGATGCCAGTGGAGGCACTGGGCTGGGGACAGGTGGAGCCCACAGGATTATGGGGATGGCAGATGTTGGGTGAATCTGGGCAAGAGGCCAAGGCTTTCATACTCTTCCTGTCCTGCCCCCTCCACAGCCCTCCTGGATGGGCAGGGGGGACAATGCTGCCTTGGGACCTGGTTGTCTGTGTTTTAGAGGACCTCTCCTTGAGGTGAGGAGTCTGTGCCAAGGGGATGTGCCCACTCTGAGCCCCACCCCCTTCTAGTCTATGCTCTGGATGCTCAAGACCAAGTCCTTCCCTCCCTAAATGGCACTGAGCTTGCAGTGGCCTTTCCCTGTCCAGTGTGCCCATCTCTTATGGAGGGGTGTGGTGGTGGACAGAGCTCAGACATGCAGACTGGGGTGTCCACATTCATGCACATGAAGCCCTTTGCAGTCCTGGAAGGAGCAGTGGGAGAGAAGGTGGTGGGCCTGCCAGGAGACCACTAGGAGACTGTAGAGGACTACTTACCAGAGGAAGGCAACGACACCCACGGGCCTGTGGGAAAGGAGAGTGGGTGGGTAGGAGGATAGCCCACCTCTCACTGGAAGTGATCAGTCCTCTGCTACTGCTGATCTGAGTGAGACGTACCCTCCCAGGGAATAATGCCATGGACAAATGGGCCCAGGACTGCCTCCTTCAGGGGACCCTGAACCCAGAGGTCCAGAATGCCTGGAGAAGTCAAGGGTCATGGCACGGCCTCCCAGGAAGCCCAGAGAAGTCTGGGGACCAATGCCACCAGGCCTGCCTCACTGGGGGAGGCCCAGCCCCAGGGTAAACAAGGAGCCAAGGCCTGACAAGGCTGAGGCCCTGCATGATTGTGTCATCCCTGATTGATGAGAGGTGGGGAGTCACACAGGCAGGAGACCCTGTGAACAATAGTGCCCCCAGCCGACTGTCAGAGAAGGGGTGAGGTTTAGAAAAGCTCCTCTCTGCCAGTGAGCATGTCCCCAGCATAGCACTGAGGGCAACTGCCCTAGTCCACCCAGCAGCCAAGCATGCCAGCATTACCAGATGTCAGTGACTCTGGACACGGGGCTCTGGTTGACAATTTCGGGTGCCACAAACTCAGGTGTACCATACTGGCAGTACTGGGGCTCTCCTGGAGTCAGCTCCTGGGCATTCCCAAAGTCACAGATCCGTACCTGCTCTTCGCCCCCTGCACCATCCCACACCAGCAGGTTCTCAGGCTGCAAGACACAGGCAAGGTGTGGGGGCTGAGTGAAGAGGAGAGGACACCCACCTCCCGGCTCCCACAGGGGCTGCCTGCTCTCCGCCCCCCATCTTACCTTGACATCAAGGTGCAGCACATGGCTCTGGTGTAGGTAGCATATTCCCTCCAGCACCTGCCGTATATAGGTTCGGATCTGTGGAAACAGGGGCCCAGAGTCTGTGGGGGTAGGGTGGGGTACTACCTTTGATCACCACCAGGGCTGTGGCAAGAGGTCATGCACGGGGAGTGGCCTTCAGATGGCCCATGGACGAGGTTGAAACAGGTTTGGGGTTAATAAGATCCAGGGCTACCAGGTATAGCCTGAACACAGCACAATTATAGGGTGGAGCCATTTTCATTGTAATAAATAGAATTGTGCAGTGCACAACTTGTACAACCCCACACGGCAGGACTGCAATGAGATCAACAGAATCCAGGTGGGCCTCCTTCTGGGGGAAATGTTTATGTAAGTAAGGCTGGGAAACAACAGAGTTAGGGGCTGAGGTGGGTCTGCTGAGATTTAGAAAGGACAGCACAAGTCCCAAACAGATGGGTCATATGGGGCGGGGCTGCCACCTGCCTAATAAGCTTTCTACCACCACCTCTTGCTTCCTCATGGGCACAGATGGCATGCCCAGGACCCACCCATTGGTTCTTGGAGCTCAGATGAGTAAAGGCTGATGCCCAATCTGGCCCCTGCCACCCCCTGCCCTCACCTCAGACTCACACACGGTGGGTTTCCTGGCCATTCGCTCCAGCAGCTCCTCTGTGCAGCTATGCCCCGAATCAAGGAGAACAGTGACAAGTACCGACTGCCTGGCCTATCCCCAGAGCTCAGGGCAGATGCCAGCTCAGCATAGGGTTCTCCCTCCCCTTAAAGCACATCTGATATTAGTCAAAGACTATGTTTTTACTCTTCCCCTTGTCATCTGGGTGCACAGATAGGACAACCATGCTTCAACTCTCACTCGCTGTGGGATCTCAGGTAAGTCACTTAACCTCTCTGAGCCTAGGTCTTTTCAGGTGTAAAATGGGGATAACATTTCCTATCCTGCCCACCCTGTGAAGAATTTATAGGCATCAAATTAGAGCAGAATTTTATTGATTGTGGATGGAACTTCTTGACTCTATTTGAGAATGCCCCAGAAGGTCCATGACATGGAAATTTGGCATTTTGCTGATATTTGGATTCAAACAGTGCAGATTGGGAGGCTGGTGTGCAGGTCATGGTCATCTGGCTAGTGGGAGTGACAAGCCGACCACCCAGCTCCTTACCTCAGTGTGCCTTTGTTTAAACACAGCTTTCATGAAAGGATAAAATCTGTTCTTTATGAAACAGCCTCTCAAACAAAGCCAAGTGTTGCCCTTCATCTGAAATGGGGTCACTTCAACTGTGCACATATACTGTACTGCATTTTGTGATAAAAATCGTGTCATTTGCTGGCTGTGTGACCTCGAGCAAGTTATTTAACTACTTCATACCTGTTTCATCATCTGTAAAATGGGGATAATTAAATTCCATGAGGTAGGTATATATGAGAATTAAATAGGTCAAATATAATAGTTTACATTTATAAACATAAAACTCTTAGAACACTGCCAAGCACATATTAAATGTTATGTAAGTTTAAGGTAAAAAATAAGCCGAAAAATGTTTGTTTTCGCAGAAGTCTCCAGACTTATGCCCCCCAATTGTCAACAGGACCACTTTGCAAACTGTAAAACATGTTGCCAATTGGCTGTTACAAGGACTAGTCATTCAGACATGGGTCCGTCCTACCCCCTCAAGCCTGTCTCAGGATACAGCTCGGTGACAATAACCAGTCCCCGGCGCCTCTCGAAGGCCTCATGGAAGTAGAGGATGCAGTCGTGCTGGAGCCGGGCCAGCAGCCGGGCCTCCCGCCGTGCTGATGCTTTTGGCTTGGCCTGGCTGGGGATGAACTTGGCCGCAAACTCCAGGCCGGAGCTACGCTCCACCACGCGCCGCAGGTAGGAGAAGGCACCCCTGGGTGACACAGGGAGAGAGCAGGGCTCAGCCATCACTGCAGCCCAGGCTCTCAACCCCCTCCTCGCCTCTGACCCAGAAGCCTCTCTTGACCCCCAACACTGGCTCCCCTCCTAGCCCCACACCTGCCAATCTCCTGGTGGATGTCATAAAAGTCGCTGAGTCTCCTTCCTCGATGCTCCTCATCTTCCCCAACCCCCTCGACCTCCATAGCTGTCTGAGCTGGGGAAGAGATGTCCTGGTGTTAGGTGGGGAGGAAAAGGAGACGAGGGCAGAGACTGGGACAGGTCGGGTAGATGAAGGAGACAGAGGAGGAGCAAGAATGCTGGGATCTGAGGTAGAGATGCTGAGGCTGGGGTATGCAGTGAGTGAAGGGCCAGCTGTTTCCTGAGCAGGGCGGGAGCTCACATCAGATTCCTGGGGGTGGGCGCTTTGTTCTTCTCCCCTTGAACTCCAGCCCACCTACCTGAACGCACAGCCAACTCTGCTTTGCAGGAAACTTCGCCCACCAGGTTCTGGGCAGTGCAGGTGTAGACGCCTCCATCCTGGGCCCCACTGCTGAGCACCACCAGGGAGCACTCATTCTCTTCATACACAAAGCTCACGTGGCTACTCTCAGCCAGCAGCACCTCATCCTGTAGAGTTGGGTGTCACTGCCAACCCTGGCCTGCGCCTGGCCTCACCTCCACTGGGAACCAACTTTACCTCTATGCCAGAGACCCAGTTTCATCTCCACCTCAGGGCCAGGAGCCTCTCCCCCAGGCCCCACCCTTACCTCCACCCAGGGCAGCAACATCCCCACCCCAGGGCCTTGTTCCCCCCAGGACCCAGAATCGGCTCATCCCTCCCACTAATAGCCCTGCACCCCTCAGTTAGTCCTGGGGTCCCACTTCCTCCTCCCAAAGTCTCCCAGGACTCCTCCCCAGGCCCCTCTGACCTTGTACCACATGATGTCTGGCAGTGGCTTCCCCTCAACCACCACCGCAAAGCGAGCAGTTTCCCCAGCCCCCACCTCCACGTCCTCCATGATGGACTCAAACCGAGGGGCCTCTGAAATGCACAGGGATAGGATGGGGCAGGCAGGGGGCAAGACGTTGGCATCACAGGGACCTGCCTCCTCAGCCCCTCTCCAAATCCCCCCTCAGTAGCAAGCTGGGTCAGAATGCCAGGTTCCCGCCTCCCAGCACCCCCCTACACACACACCGGGGCTCTCAAACTCAGCCCCTCGGGACATGAGAGCTCTTACCTGGACCAAGCGCCCTCCCTATAAATGCAAACTTGATGCTCTCAGAATCTCAGGAGGCCTGTCACAAGACTCAGCTTGCTTTGTCTGACCCTCAGTGTTCGTTTGCCAGCTTTGAAATTAGCAGATTTTCACACACAAAAGAAATCTGGATTTCCTCCCTCTCATGAAAAATCAGGACTGGCCATCCTGAGCCACTTGCCTCACTGCATTAATGGGCTGGCGAGGAGTGGCTCAATGCTGCCCCCTGTGGGTGACCGCCCTTCCTCACAGTCCCACCCTCCTGCCTCTCTGAGTTTAAGTGTACTTGGCTCCTGAAAGTGGCTCAGTCTGTGACCCTGAATTACAGGGTCTTTGCCTCTGTCTTGAAGTTTTTTTCTTCACATCTTATTTAAATGTTGAGGGGGCCTACTATCAGCTGGGAGATGACAGCATGAACCAATGAGTAACCCGCACATATTAACCGAACAATCTAGAAACTGACTCTCAGCTCAGTTGTCCCACATGTGGCTGTGATTTTATTCTCCCCACATATCATGTGGTCATATTATTTCCTGATAAAGCGACTTCTAATTCTCATGATGGAATTGAATACATATTGCAACATGCTTTGTAAAGGAGGCTGTGACTTACAGGTGCCCACTCCTGAGCATGTTAAAGAGGATTGGGAGTGATGAGACATGGAAGACAAGGGTCGCTGCCTACAGACCACTGCCCATATCGTGGGCACACAGCTCAAGCGATGCCATGCTGGGAGTGGGGAAGACACTGTGGCATGGCAGGTGTGGAGGAAAGGGGGCCATCATTCCACTTGCCCTGCCTGGGTGGTGGTGGGGTGGGGTGGGGTTTGGTGGAATGGGGGATGCCAGCTCCAGGACCCTTTTAGCTCTGACCAGCTGGGACACAATCTCCCTCAGTCACTGTCCCAGCCAAACCAGGCTGCAGAGCTCTTGGTGCCAGGGCCTCCCTAGGCCCAAGGGCCCCTCCTATATCTGGGAGGAAGGACAAGCCTTGCAGATAGTACTGTCAAGGAGCAGAGGGGACTAGTAGGAAGTGCTGGGGTGGGGGGCTGGGCAAGGAGGAAGATAAGGAGAGGCCAGGGACCCAGACAATCTGTGGTCCCACCCTACCCACCATCCCCACAGCTGGGCCAGCAGGGTCCCCCATCTCTTCCTCACACACCCTGCTGCCATTTCTCTTCCACTTTAAAGATGAGGGCATCTGGTCCTCTAGGAATCTGGTCCCCAGTCGGCTGGGAGGTGGGGAGGGTTAGTTTATGAAGGTCAAATTGCCAGAAGGTTTCAAGTGAACTTTAATGACTTTTTCTTTTTGTCTTCATTATTTTATTTTGTTTTATTTTATTGAAAGGTAATTGATTTTCTTCAATGACTTTTTTAAGGCACCAGAAAATATCTATTTACCCATGGTAAGATTGCCTGTGCTAACTAAAATGTCACTTTCCTTGCTTTTGGTTGAAACTATATCTACTCAGCAGGTAACGTTGTTTAGCTCATGTTAATTCAAAGTTCTGAGTGGCAGTTACATATGTCTGGAGTTAATTAACAAGCTTGAAAACAAAGCAATTACTGCTTGATGCATGCTACTGTTTGAGAGACTACATCTTTAAAGGAGAAATTATAAGAAGGGGTCTTGCTGCAAAGGTTGGGAGGCTCTGTCAGTCTTATTTACTTTTAAATGAGCCTCAGAACTGGGAGTCTGGTGATAGATACACTCATGGGCTTTTTTTTTTTTCTTAATCAATTTGGTCTTCCTATACCTGTTATATTTGAAATACTATTCCCTGTTGTATTTAACACAGGAGCTAAGAGCAAGCACTGGCTTTGGAGTCAGGCATCCAGACTTGAACCCAGCTCCTATACTTAATGTTGAATGACTTTGGGCTGGTTATTTAGAACCCGCTTTGGGCCTCAGTTTCATCTGTAAAATGGGATAATAACCAACCCAATCTCACAAGGTTGATATGAACATTAAATGAGGTAAAACATGTAAAGTGCTTACTAATGAATCTGGCACACACTAGGTGCTCAATGAATATTCCATTATTACTATTACTGTTATTACTAGTACTGGTATCATTATAGTCATTAGATGGATAGGCCTGAGAGGGAAGACCCGGGATTAAATCCAGTGGCAGGTGGGTATATGCACCTGGGGGTGTGAAGAGAGAGCTGTGGGCCTTGTAGGGAAGAAAGTGAAGACAGCCCACTGTCTCCTACCTGCCAGCTCCAGTGTGACCGAGCAGGCCTGAGTGCCATGGCGATTTCTCGCAGTGCAGGTGAGGGGCCCTATGTCCCGGCGGCTCACTCGGCAGATCCGAAGACAGTACTGGTTGTCATCTGGCTGACTCAGCTCGTACACACCTGCTCGTGCCTCCAGGAGGGCCCCTCGGCAGCTAAGGGACACAGAACAGGGGGGTCACCCAGGATCTCACTACAGGGAGGACTGGCTAGGCTGGGCTGGAACTGAGCCACCACATGTAGGGAGAAGGTACATGGGGGGCAGGGGGCCCACCTCCTCCAGACGACCTGGGCCTCCACATGGTTGAAGGTAACAGTGACACTGGCAGGGTGTCCCTCCACCACATACACAATGTCCGGTTTATCCAGCACAGCAGGGGCCTCCTCCAGGGGTGGGCCTGGGAGGAGGAGAATGCAGGCTCTGGGCTTGTTATGGGTCCTTAGCATCACAACACCCCATCACCACCCCAGCTCCATTTTTACAGATGAGGAAGCTGAGCCTCACAGCAGTTTAGCAATTCATCCAGGGAACACAGCCAGGAAGTGGCAGAGCTAGGGTTGGACCCCAACTTGCCTGACCCCAAAGCCTCAGCTTTGCCCATTGCACCTTGCTGCCTTCAGAAGAGAGAAGGAGGCACACCGATGGGGTGAGGTCCCATCCAGCCACACTGTTCCTGCCATAGTCACGATGGCCAGACCGGCCCTTGAGTCTTCACCACCGGGCCCCATTCCCAGGCCACCCCCACTCCCACCCTCGCCCAGGCTCACCGCGCTCCAGCAGTTGCACAGGCTCAGAGGGAGGTGAGGGCTTGCTGCTGCTCTTGATGGTGGTGCTGAGGACTCGGAAGACGTGCTGGAGCCCCTTACGCAGCCCCGTGGCCACCCAACCGGGCTCCCGAAGGCCCGTGGCCAGCACTATCCACTGGTCCGAGCCCAACACCTGGTGCTGCACCGTGTATGTCAGGGAGTCCGGGTCTGGTGGGGGAAGAGCTACTAGAGGCTGATGTTGCTGGGGCAGCACCGCCCCCACCATCCCCTGCATCCAGTTGGCTCAGGACCTTGGAACTGATCATTAGTCACTCTGAGGACGTGCCTCAGTTTCTCATGTTGCTTCCTGCCTGCCTCCCCATCTGTTCTTGCCCAACCACTGCCCCACGCAGGCTTAGAGCCAACAAGGTACCAGTTATAGGCATGAAGGGAGCTGGGCTTGTATTCCAATTCCCTGCTACCTGAGATAGGGAAATTGAGGCATGGAGTAGAAAGAGATCATGGTCAAGGAAAAAAGAGGGTGTTCCTGTGACCATGACCCAGGCACCTAGTCCCCCTGAGAAAGGGAAGGGAATGTGGCGGCACCCATGTCTCCTCTCCTGACCTGAGTGAGGACCTTATCTGCTGTGGAGAAAAGACAGGCAAAGCACTCCATCCACTCCTGCCCCCTCCTGTATAAGCTCCTGGGGCCTGGCTCCCTTGCTGCCCCCGCCTGAGTGTGCCCTGTCCACACCCACCCCTACTCATAGCCCTGACCCACCGATGGCCATGTCCAGACTCCTGGGGGGGTTCCACGTGAGCGTAACCATCTTCCCAGTCACAGCCACCACCTGTGGGGCACCATCTGGGGGACCTGGAACCACATCACCCACCGATGGCCATGTCCAGACTCCTGGGGGGGTTCCACGTGAGCGTGACCATCTTCCCAGTCACAGCCACCACCTGTGGGGCACCATCTGGGGGACCTGGAACCACATCTGAAAGCCACAGGTTGGAGGTCCACTGGGTCCTTTAGGGCCCAACAGCTCCACAGGATCACCAAGACTTAGGGCAGTAGGCTGGGGGTTGGGGGACCAAGCCACAGGGACAGAGGCAAGGCCAGACAGTTCCCTGGGGGCTAAGGAGAAGGGAGTTGGTATGGAAGCCCCCACCCATCCCCACCCAAGCCCCCCGGTGGTGCCAGGGGCCATGCTATAGTCACAGCTGATGGGGGATGCCTGCCTCACCTGTGACATAGAGGTGGGCATAGCAGGCAGCTTTGCCCAGCTTGTTGGCGATGACACTCTTATAGACTCCGGCGTGCTGAGGCCCCACAGCAGGGAACACCAAGCGATGTACATCCCTATCTGGTGGGGGAGGGACAGCGACACTGGGGCTGAGCTAGGATACTCCGGGTCCAGGCCAGGACTGGCTTCCAAGTCTATTCCAGCAGTCCTGGCCCCTCTTGCCTGTCCCTCCAGCACATTGGCCCAGGAATTTATAATCTTCCTACCACAACTGCGTCACCCTCTGGGTTCCCTATCTGTGTTGACCGCCTCCTCATTTTCCCACCTCTGCAGGTGGGAGTGGTTGTGGGGAGTCATAACCTCTGCGTAAAAGTTCTGACCAGGCTTCATTCCTAAGGCCCTCCCGCCAAGACCTAGTCCAGTCTCCAGCAGAGCCCTAAGAAAGCCCCCCATGAGAGCTCAGCCCAACCTCCCCTCCAGCCAGAGCTCCAACTGGCTTCTCTGTTCCTACACCTTTTGACCCAGACAAACCATCAGGTCCTCAACAAGTCCTGTGAGTTCCATCTCCAGCTCTTCACTTGCAAATTCCTTCCTTTTGGAAGGCTCATCTCTTCCTAAGGCTTCCTACTCCCTCAAGATGCAGTTCAAGTGAGGGCAGCCCCATGAAGCCTCATCTACCGAGCCCCCAGACCCCTCTGCACCCCATGCCCTGACTCCCTCCCCAGGACTCCAGGCCCCTCTCGCCTGCACCACACTGGGCCCCACTGCTTTGGCAGGGGGAGGAGAGAACTTTCCTCTTTACTTGCATGAGCCATAGCTCCTGGTGTGCCTGCAAGCTTCTTAAAGACACAGCTGACTTCATTCATATCTGCTGGTCCCACCAGACCCAGAGCTCAATGCCTTGCACGCAGTAAGTGCCAAATACATTATATGGTAAATTATAATCAGAGTTATCTGCACTGCGCCCAGCCTATGCCAGGTACTTAGCATACTTTTTCCCCCAATCCTTTCAACAACCCTACAAAATTATCCCCATTTTACCAGTGAGGTCAGAGACATTAATTATCTTGTCCAAAGTCACACAGCTAATAAATAAGGAAGTCCTTGCTTAAACTTCGTTCTGTCTGATTCTGAAGCTCTTTCCTTTCCTTTCCTTATACCCTGCTCCCTGAATGATAAGGAGCTATGTCTGGTGAGGACATGAAGAGAAGACCTGCACTTTCCTTCTTCACATCAGGACCGTCCCTATACACCCCTCCCTTCTCTTAGCAGTTATCTCCGCGTATAACAGTCCCCCATTCATTTATCTCTGCTGACACTATAAGGGAAAAGAAGCCAAGTCTTGCCAGTGACCCCAGAAACAGACAGAAGCAGAGACACCAGCTCACATCCTGAGACAGACACCCACCCAGGGCTTCAGAGCAGATCGGGAGACAGGGAGGTCTGTGACTGAGCAAAGACAGCCATGGGAGGGGGCTGAGGGCAAGGGTGAGAGCCAGGGTGATGACACTAGAGATGGGTTGGGGGTGGGGTGGGGACAACAGGGCATGGACAACAGGGGGCATCCTGGTTAGGAGGTGGGCACCAGAGTCAGACAGTCCTTGCTTGCCTTTGGGCAAGTCCCTGTACCCCTCTCAGCCTCAGCTAGCCCATCTATAAACAGGGCTAATAGTACCTGCCTTCAGGCCTGTGGTAAGACTGTCCATGTCAGGCCTTTAGCACTTGGGCAGGGCCTGGCACTTAGAAAAAGTACTTAATATTCAAATCCCCGTACCGGACAGCCACCAAAAAAAAAAAAAAGCATTTGATAAAGGTGACCTTTTGTCACGTTGCAGCTGGAAGAGGAAACCATTACGAGTCACTGTGTGGGCACTGTCTTATGGCAGGTAGGCAGACCCCACATGAGACTCAGATTCCTTCAAGGTTGGAACCTGTTTGTTCCCATGAGGACATGTCCCAGGCTGAGAGGACACCGACCCAAACACGTTCCTCTGCGTTCCCCGGCTACTCCTTCACTGGCTGTTCATTAACAGTCCTGGACCAAGAACCCTTTCCATGCCAGATGCTGCCCACAGCAGCCTTTTCCTGGAAATTTCCCCAGGAAGTGTGAGCAGCACCACTTCATCAACAATGATAATGGTGGCAACAGCAACAATAGCAATTAGCAATCAGATTTAACATTTACTGACCACTTGCTATTTGCCAGGCCCTGCTCTAAGTGCTTTATATGTATTAATTGAACTAAGTCTCCTAACAACTCAAGTATACGTGAGGAAACTGAGGCACAGAGGGGTTCTGTAACTTGCTGATGATCCCGCTGCTGGTCAGTAGCAGACTATGCTGCCTGACCAGTAAGTGCTAACAGGACCACCAAAGGGTGAGGCAATGACCTCACAGCCCCTCTTGGCCCCCTTCTCCCCGGGCACCCCTTCCTGACCAGGCTACAAAAAGAAGGCCCTGAGGGAGGCCGGGAGAGGAGGAGGGTGCTACAAGCCAAGACGGTGCAGGAGGGAACTCTCCCAAGGGCCCCTTCCAGACACGTACACTGTGTCATGCGCCGGTCATCACTGCTCTGGATGCGGTGGCCATTGTGGAACCAGCTGATGGTGGGGTAGGGCAGACCAGTCACCTGGCACTCTAGCATGGCCTCCTTGGCCAGTCCCACCTCCAGGTCCTGCAATGGCCGCAGGAAGTCAGGGATGGACAGCCGCTCCAGCTCGCCCTGCTCTGGCTCCTCAGGGATGGATGGCATCTTCTCCAGCTTTGAGCTGTAAGAAGCACGCGGCTGCCCACAAGTCCAGGGTCGCACCCCCCACCCCAGGGCTGGGTCACCTCAGCAGCAATACCTGGGGCCTGAGGCAGCTGTCCGAGGTTCCTCCACGTAGAGCTGGGCTGAGCAATGGGCCTGGCCGTGGATGTTGGTCGCGCTGACCACATACAGCCCCTCGTCCTCACTGCCCACGTGGGCGATGTGCAGCGAGTGCAGGCCCCCATCCTGCCGCAGTCGCACATTCTCACTCTCCTCCACAGGGTGGCCTGGGGGAGGGAGGGGCGGGAGTGCAGAGCAGGCACGGAGGGGGGCCTGCCCTCGGCATACCCCATCCCTGCCTGGGCCCTTGGGGGGTCCCCAACACCTGCAGGGTGGGGAGCCATACCAAAATGCATCCAGGTAACAGAGGGGGATGGGGTGCCACTGATCTTGCAGTCGAAGCGGGCAGCACGGCCCTCCAGCACCTCCATATCTTCCAGCAACCGTGTGAACAGGGGCGCCAGTGAGGGCTGCACAGTCAGCCGGGCACTGCAGGTCAGCTCATCTGGGGGCAGAGGGCAGCTGTGGGCTAGGGAAGGCCATTGAGGCCCAGGCACCCCAAATCGCAGGTCCTACCCTAAGACTGGGCACAAAGCCAGAGCCTGGGCAGAGCCCAGGGGTGAGACAGTGGGCAAAGATCCAAAGACCAGGCCTTCTCAGGAGGGTGGGTGTCAGCAAAGGTAGGCAGCATGCTGCCGCAGTGAGCTGGGGACTCCATAGAAGCCCAGGGCTTGGCCCTAGCTCTCCCCTCCTCACCTCATTCTGCCCACCCAGGATGAAGTGTAGTCCAGCACTGATGGGTCTCAGAAGCCAAGCCCACTCCCTTCCCCCACCCCCTCCCTCAGAACTCTCCTCTGTGCCTGGGTTGTGTCCACACTCCAACCCACCAGCCCCAGACCCAGAGCAGAGGCCCCTTGGCCCTACTCTACCATTCTACAGACTCTTCTGGAGGGGACAACAGTCCCTTCTGCTGACCTGACGCTTGTTCCTGCCTACAAAGCCCCTCTGGCTTCCTCTCATGTGCTCATCACCCACATCCTAGTGATGCAGGTTTCACCATCTGTGCTCCTCACATGAGGACAGCACCAGGTCACAGATGTCATTAATAATACTAACGGCCAACATTTATTAGGTGCCACCCTTGACCAGGTGCTGTGCTTTGCTCTTTAGATACATTATCTTATTAATCCTACCAATCTCCCTGAGAAGTGGTTATTATCATAATCTTTTCACAGATGAATAGTCTAAAGCTCAGAGAGATGAAGTAACTTGTCCAAAGTTACATGGGGGCAAGAGTTGGGACCCAAGTCCGGGTTTGTTGGCTATGCCTCAGCATAAGCTCCCCCATGGGAACCGCTAACGGTGACACAGCACTTCCTTTGTGCCACGTACTACTCTATGCCCTGCCACCCCACTGCACATCCCTCAGGATACGAAGCCCTACGTCCTGGGCATCTTATTCTGCAGCTCTTTCACCTCCAGTCCCCTCCCTCCTGCTTTTGGGTGCACACAGTCGCCCTCAGGCCTGAGTGGGTAGTTACCTTTGGCCGTGCTGAGCTTGCAGGTGTAGATGCCACTGTCGTCCTCGTGCACAGAGGTGAGCAGCAGCTTGCATTTCCGGCCATCAAAGTGCATCTTGCATTTGAGCAGTGCGGGCTGCAGCAGGCGGCCACGGCACAGCCAGTCCACTTCCACGTCAGCAGGACCTGCCACCAGGCACTCAAACAGCGCCATCTCCCCGGCCCCCACGTCCACGTCCTGCAGGGGCGCCAGCACGGCCAGGGACCGGCTTTCAGGGTGTGCTGGGGGGAAGCGGCCACGGGGGGCACGCACAGAGCAGAGACACACAGGGCAAGGGAGACATACATACACACACACACACACACACACACACACACACAGACAGAGACAGACAGACAGAAAGAGAGATGCATTTTGTTCCTCTGGAGACAGGGAAAGCCCACCCCCACCCCAGCCAGGACAGCAAGGAGCTCTGAGACCTGTCTTCAAGACTGCAACCCAAGCTAGGTCAGGGGGTGAACTCATGAGAGGCAAGAGGGAACTGAGAGAGGGGAAACCAAGATGACCACGTGGTGGCAGAGACGGCGGCGGAAAAAAAAAAAAAACACAGCACACCAGCTGGGTACAAATTGAACTTTATTTGAGCTAAGAAATAGGTGTTCCCAAATATCTCCACTCCCTTAACAGCAGCCCCCTGCTTTTGCACCAGGCCTGGTTAACTCCCTCATTCCAGACAGAGCATCCTTGGCCCTGACAGTGCACAAGGGAGCCCCAAATGAGCCCTAAACCTGCCAGGGCCAGGGCCCAGCCAGGTCTCTCTATCGACACAGAGCCCAGGGCCTCTGGCTCTTAGTCTCTTGTGGAATAGAAAGTGTTGTGCCATTTGAAACCCGTCTCTGGAATGGTCAGTGTCCTGCCCACTCCCAGTGAGCCCCTTGTCAACAGCCCCTGCACCTCTGGGCCCCTCCATCCCGCAGATGCCACGCCCTATCCTCTCCTGCTCTGTCTCACCCCACCCCAGCTCAGAGGCATCCTTCCCTGACTGTCACAGACACACAGACAAACAAACAGGTAGACAGACAGTGGCCTGTAGCAGTGGTAGCACATGCGATCACTCGGTGCTCCCCTGCAGGGAGAGACTGGGGGGCGCTTGATACCCCTCATGGCTGCCCCTTCCCAGCACTCAGTCCATCTGGGGGCCTGCACAGCCGTGTGTCCGCTTGGGGAGGGAGGGTCCACTAGCCCATGGGTTAGCCCTGGGCTGCATGGAGTGAGAAGGGCAGGGGAGGGGAGGCTGGGGCGGGTCCGGGCCGGCAGGCCGGCTGGGTCTGTGGGCAGGAGGCAGTGAAACACAGCGAGGTCCGAGAGGTGCCTGAGACAGGGGCGCGGCTCGGAGGGTAGCCGGGGGGAGCGCAGGCGGCCCCCTGAGCTCACTCGCCTGTGTACAGACAAAAACCTCAGTCAGCAAGCGGCAGGTTAGTGCAGCACACGCACACACATGCACGCACAGGCACACAGGCGCACAGACCTGGCAGGTGCCCATCTGGATGGAGCAGTGCCTCTAACACTGCCAGGGCAGTGCTGCCACTTTCAGCTCCCCCAAGACCAGCCCTGGGCTGGGAGGGCCGGTGGCCAGCCAGAGACCGGGTTCCCAGGGGCTCCTGAGGTTTCTGGGCAGGCAGAGACCCTGGGCAACCAGGGGAGGGGCATTCACAGGCATCGGGGGCACCCGGAAGCCTGGGGGATGGTGGGAGGAATCCCTGAGAGAGAAGCACCGAGACACAAGTTAGCACAGAGAAGCAAGGCAGAGCCAGACCCTGGAGGAGAAGGAGCAGGCCAGAGAACGGGGGCTAAAGAACCTGGAGACCAAAGAGTGGCAACCACAGGAATGGGAGGCACGGGGGAGGGTCACTGAGGCAAGCAGGGCCCAGCAGAGAGGCCATAACTATTAGGGAACAGGCTCCAGCAGGTACCTAGGTGTATTTTGGGAAGTTCCCAGAGATGGACTCTGCCAGGCTTGAAGGGATTGAGCCTCATGGGAGGCAGGGAGGGATGATGGCTGAGTGAGGAGCTGAGGAGAGGTCCCTGGTCCTGAGCCATGACAGGGAAGGGTAAGGTGGAAGGCAAGGCCAACAGCCAGCCTGTGGGGAGGAACCCACCCGTCCTTGGAGGGCAGCCTAGCTGTGCCCTGTCATTGCTGCTACCTGAGAGAGATCCCCTGTCCTTATGCCCAGCCCTCTCCATGTTTCATGGCTCTGATCGACCTGGCACCCCTGGAGTCACTGCAATGCTTCAAGCCCAAGTCACCCCAAGGGCCCCTCCGAACGGGTCCAGCCACCAGACTCTCCCCACTGCTACCCCCCAATCACAATAGCTTCTGCACAGCAATGGAATAGGCAGGGGGGCAAGGGGGTGGGAGGGGGGTGTAGGTGGGAGGAAGGGGCCTGGGTAGAGCAGGGTGATGAAGGCTTAGAAGAGTGTGGAGAGAGGATGGCTGGTGGCAGGAAGCAGGGTCCTCTGGCTAGCGTGAGCAAGCATGGGGCAGACAGCACTGTGCTGTAAGCTGAGCAGAGAACAATCTGCTGTGTGGCCTGGGGCAAGTTGCTTCCTCTCTCTGGGCCTCAGTTTACTTCTCTACAACATAAGCAGCTGGACTAGGGGACCTCTGAGGCCCTTTCGGTTGTGGCATCCTATAACTGAGGTTGTATGAGTTTGTCAGGAGGGCAGGGAGGGGGCTAGGGCCAGGTGGGGGTTCATAGCGCATGTGAGGTACTCACCTCGGACCTCCAGGCGGGCCTCACACTGCCGAGCGCCATACTCATTGACCGCTTTGCAAGTGTAGAAGCCAGCGTCACCCCGCTCTGCAGCCAGGATACGCAGGCGGCACAGCCCGCCCTCAGCCTCCTCGGCAAAGCGCCGCTGGTCCGGGCGCACAGGCTGGCGGTTTCTCAGCCTGTCAGAGAGGCAAGAACTCAGTCCCAGGGCCCACGGTCCTGACCTGTATGTGCAGGGAAATGGGCTGCACAGCCACACAGACCTCTCCTCCCCCACACAGTTTGCCCACTTCCTGATTCTGTCCCACTGACCATAGGCACCCCTGAGTTCACCATGATTCTTCCAGCCCACCCTACTTCAGGCACTTCCAGACCAGCTTTGCCCACCTGGATCTCTCCCTTCTCCATACTCTGCCACACTCAGAGTATAGCCATAATGTTTAGCTCTTCATGGTTCTTAAGTTTTCCCATGTCTTATTTTTGTTTATTTATAACAGACAGCTTTCCCACTTCCCAAACGGGATATGAAAGAACTCACAATATTTAAAAAAAATCACAGTGGGGACCAGACAATTAATTACAAATGAAAAATAGAACCCATACCAATAAAAAGAAAAAAGAAAGGGCTGGCCCGTGGCTCACTTGGGCGAGCGTGGTGCTGACAACACTAAGTCGAAGGTTAAGATCCCCTTACCGGTCATCTTTTTTTAAAAAAAAAAAGTCAAGTAATCGATGTTCTGGGCACCTGGGACGAGCAAGGCATTGCAGCTGAGACCCACATTTAACTATGGGCTTCTGGCAGCTCAGAGACAAATTGTGACTGGGCCTAGCACAGGGCTGGGCACAGAGTAGGTCTCAAAAGTCACCCTACCATCAACTGATGGGAAAGGGGGGCAGGAGGGGACAGCCCTCTCCAGGAGAGGACTCCTAGTCATATTTCCCCAAGTGGACAGACATGAGACCATTTATTCCCCAAACCTCTCCTCAGAAGGGGATGCCCTAAATAAGTCTTGAGCACCAGGGTGAGTCTCAGGAGTGTGTTGGGGGCACTGGTATTGCCGGCCCTAGCATGAGGTCCCCGGGGCAGATCATGGGAAGTCCACAAAGGGTCCACTCCCTTCCACCCAAAGCCAGGCCTCCCAGGGCCAAGCCTGGAGTGGGGGAGCCAGTGGATGGGGGTGAGTGGTTGCTACTCACCAGGAGACGACCGGCTTGGGCTCCCCCTGCACGCGGATGCTCATAATGACATCTTGGCCTTCTCTTACTGACTGGTCCATAAGCGAGACCTAAAAGGGGACCCCAAAGTGTCAGGGAAGATCATCGGGGCATACAGATTTGGACTCTGAGGGACCTGGGACAGAGGTCTCTTCCACACCAGTCAGACTGAGGCTGGCTGAGCAAGAAGGGTTAATGGGGCAACATTCCAGGTCTTGCTGGAGCCCAATCACGGTCCCAAGAACAAGTGGGCACACAAAGGAATGGAGGGTCCACAGGGGGGTGGGTGCCAGCCTCAGGAACCTGACCTTGAAGGTGGGGGGTGCCTTAGAGCCAGTGTCAGAAGAACAGCGGTTCTGGCTGGGACTGAGCTTCATGGTGGGGGTTCGGGGCCAGGTCTCCCCAGGCTCCGGGAACTCCTCTGGGGGGCTCAGGTACTCCTCGTCGGAGGTGATGGGGCTGCTGAAAGGGGATGTGGACCCGCCTGGAGAAGAGACAGAGAGAGGTACCAGGGGACGAAGGGGCAAAGAGACTGAGAGAGCAGCTGGAATGTCACACAGAGACCAGGAGTTCAGGCAGCTCCCGGCAGGATGGCCCTGCCCTGACCTCACCTCCTGTTGTGTGAACTTGCCCAGGTGTGTCCTCTCCCTGAGCCCTTGAATCCTCCTCTGCCAACACTGACCCTGCTGATCCTCCTGAGAGGGGACACCATAGGGAATGTTTGGGGCAAAGAACCTGGGCAGCAGAGGGGCTGCTCCTGGGCCTTGTGGGAGACCCAGAATTCCACTGAGGCAGGGAACCCACACTTCTGGCATGGACTAGGGGCCCAAACTACCATGCAGGCTCCAAAGGCAGGTGGTGCATGTCTCTGGGACCCCAGAAAGGCACAGCCAGGACACCCGATTCTTGAGCAAGTTGGGTCTGGTGCAGAGGAACACACACCTCAGATAAGCCCCATCCTGACCTCAGCCCAGGGCCAACGGGGCGGCACCGTCCAGCTTGCCCTTCCCCCACTCCCTTCTCAGCTTCCTGCTACAGAAACCCCAGGGGCACCTGTTGGCCCCAGTCCTAGAACATGGACCCCAAAACTCTCAGGGTATGGGAGAGTAGAGTTGGAGCCATCCACAGAAAAGGGTAGCTCAGCCTGGGGAAGAGGAGGGGGCACCAGAGTCTGCCTTGGGGGAGGGGTGTCCCCAGGGCCCTGACGCCCTTCCCTTGCAACTGGCCAAGGGCCCAGCCTTACTGAGCTGGATCCTATCCGACTGCCAAATACAGACATGAATCTGCCACAGCCCCCGGCCCCTCCTCCTGGTTCCCCCACCCAAAGCCCCAAGCAGGGCTGCACCCCAACTCACCCCAAGACTCAGCACACGGACACCAGCCTGCGCCTGTCTCGAAGGCTCTGCCTTGGCATCAGGCCCTCCTGCTGCCTGCCCACTGCCCACCCTGGCCTGGCTCCCTTGGGAGCAGGAGCCCAGCCTGCCCAGCCCCACTCACGCTGACCCAGCTGAGGCCCCTGTACTGGAAGGCCCTGGGGGAGGGGGCAGGAGCTGAGCAGGGGAAAGAGGAGGCGGGAGCTGGCCACAGAGAGGCTGGGTGGCAGGCAGGCAGGCAGCTGGCTGGGAAGGTGGTGCCTGCTGAGACCACAAGCAGCCTGAGCCCTGGAGTGCAGTGGGGAGAAGGGAGGGGCAGAGCACAGCCAGCTGAATTTAGCCACCCTGCTCATTCTCGAGCAGTGGGATCTGCCTTTCCTCTCCTTACAGCTCCTGGATCCTGACAAGAGCAAAGCCCCTTCACTGGTGCCTGGACTCAAGGCATGGGGCCTCGGTCCCCAAAGGAAGATGGGGGTGGGGTGGCAGTGCACTGCGGTATTCAAGGTGCTAGCCCTGACCCATTATTTCCGATGTGTCTACCAAAGAGGCACTGATTGCAAATGGCTCCTATGTTGCCCCTTGCCCTGACCAAATCGCCAAGATCCCTGACCTGGGAAGGTACTGACAAGCTTCAAATACTACAGAGCCAGCCATATCATTTTCTCTGGTGCTGGGAATCAGAACTGTTAGGACCTTCACCCTCCTTCCCAGAGAAGCCCACCTCAACCTGACAGGGCCTAGAATCCCACCTCTGGCCCTCCTTTCCTGCTGTGGCAGGTTTGGCCCAGCAGCCACCCCCGGGCACTGGGCCTACACTCAACCCTCCTACAGGCTCTACTGGGACACCATTTGGCAACTTGTTCTTCACCCATCGGCTCTACCAGGGCCAACAGTGAGGACAGTGAGGACTGCTCCCCTCAAAGACCCCTCATAATTAGCACCCATTTGTATCTGGGCTCGGGAAGGGGCTTGGAAAGAAAGCAAGAAAAAAAGGGGGTGTTGAGCAGGAGTCACATGTCATTCTCCCTCCTCTCACCTCACCCCCACCCAGGGCCACATTCCCAAGCTATGACCTGGGTTTCCCAGCATGGCCAGTGAGGAAGGAGGAGTGGGGGCCAGGCAGAGGAGGGGCCCACTGTTCAAGCTGTCTTGAGGTAGGGAGGGGAGTGGGAATGGCACTTGGGGCTCGAAACTTGGCCTCCAGCTGATCCTGAGATCAGAGGCGTGTCCCTGGAAGCAGGTGCTTCTCTCCCCTCCACAGAGCCTGAGGTTCTGCTCCAGGGTCACCTCCAGCCTGGACAGTGCTGAGGAGGCTCACGGGCCCAGGGAGGGAGAGAGGATATTAATGCAGGACTGGCGAGGTTTGTAGGGAGCCTCAGAGGCCCCTGGTGGTGGCGGGGGAACAATACCATGTGGGGCATCCAGCCACCAAGTCAGCCCAAGTCCTTAAGCCCTTGGAAGAGGGACAGTCACAGCAGCCTAGGCAGGAGGCTCAGGCTCCAGCGGGGCAGAAATTGGCTTCTTCGAGACAAGGCAGTGGGTTAGGTACCTAACGCTCCATACCCCCAAAACTGTGCGGACAAGGAGGCTGACGGAATCCCTAGGGCTGATGGAATCTAGTGCCACCCACTTTTCACTGGTCCCATAGCCTAAATCATCTTTGTAGCCAGTCCCTGACATCCCAGCCCTGACCCACCCACAAGCCCAGTTCTCACTGTGGAGAACATAGTTACACCAGCCAGGAAGCAGGGAGCAGGTGCCCTCCTAAATCTGAGAGGCACATACACTCAGCAGCCTGAACAACCTGCCAGCGCAGCACCGCCCCTTCACACTTGCCCCACCTCCCACGCTGACCCTACCCATGAGTAGGCCCTTTCAACACTGCTCCTGGATCGAACTCACTCAATGAATATACTGGTGATAGAGAGCCCACAAATTGAGGAATCTCCCTCCCAGATCAGCACATCTAGCTGGTACTGACGTCCCCTGATACGTTCTCGGGGATAGGTCTAGTTGCAGCCACCACTGCAAAGATCTAGTACGTAAAGGCACAGCAGAAGACCCTTCACATCAAGGCTTCTCAGAATGACCCTTGAACCACCCACATCAGGACCACCTGACAGCTTAGTTAAAATACAGACTCCTGGGGGCCGGCCCGTGGCTCACTTGGGAGAGTGTGGTGTTGATAACACCAAGGCTACGGGTTCGGATCCCTATATACAGATGGCCGGTTAGCTCACTTGGGAGAGCGTGGTGCTGACTACACCAAGTCAAGGGTTAAGATCCCCTTACTGGTCATCTTTAAAAATAAAAAAATAAAAAATAAATAAAATACAGGCTCCTGGGCCTTACTCAAGAATTCGGTTTTCTGAACTGGGAGGTTGGGAAACTGCATTTTTTAAAAAGCACCCCAAGTGGTTTTTATGCACATGAATGTTTAGGAATCGCTCCTGATCCTCATGGTAGGACAACCCTGAGAGGGTATCACTGAGTCCGATATAACTCGGCCATTAAACTCCAGAGCAGAGCTTTGAACCCAGGAGATGACTCCACAGCCCTGGTGTCTCCCACCGTACCACCTGGCCTCCCATCTCAGGCAAGGTCTCTTAACTCTACGGCAGTGGTTCTCAGCTTACTGTGCATCAGAATCACCTGGAGGTCTCCTTCAACTAAAGCTTGCTGGGCTCCACCCCCAGAGTTTCTGATTCAGTAGGTCTGGGCTGGGGCTGATAACCTACATTTCTAACATATACCTAAGGGGATGTGTGTTGACGCTGCTGCTGGTCTGGGGACCAAACTTTGAGGAACCCGCTCCATGGTCTCCACTGCCATCCCAACTTCTACTCTTAGGAACAGTCTTTGTTGGGAAAATATAGAAAAAATGGTCAGGGCCCCTCAGATGTTCAGAATCTTGCTGAGCATTTGATGTAACTAGGCATATGTGCTCAGGTGTTCCTTGGTTATCGTCTAGTGTAATTGTGCATGAGCACCCAGGTGTCCTGGCTTATGGACTTAAGTAAAAGGATGAGTGGCTCTGATCCACAGGGCCTCCCATTCCCGGGATGCCCCCCCAGTGTGTGTGGGGGGGGTCATGGGGAGGCCACTACTCTTGCTGAAGGCTGCTGCTACTGCCCCCGGGACCCTCTGCAAGGCCACTGCCACTGCCGGACCAGTAAGCTGCTGCCGCTGAGGAAGCTGAGGACTGAGCTTGTGTCATCTGCCAGTAGCTCCCGGAATCTTTCCCAATTACCTGGCATCAACCTGAGTGTGAAGGGTCTGGTGAACCAGTCTGTGCAACAGGTTTGGAGGGTCTGAGCCCTAATTCTGACAATATAAATAGAAACTTAGTATAACTAAAATAATGAAACATTTTGGCTTTAGTTATGATTTGCCTTACTTTACAGCCTTATTATCTTTTGCAGCTGAGCATCGCTCCCAGCCTCTGGGTGCTACCCAGGCTGTTCCAAGGGCTTAGAAAGTCACAGGAATTCCTGTCCCCCGCCCCCCAACTGTCCCCTCACACATAGTCCCTGAGGTCCACACAGCCCCTGACTGTCCAGGAGGGCCTCCGGGTGTGGCTGCGAGAGCCAAGGAGTGGTGGAGGCACTGTCGTGTTCTCAGGAGTCTTCTGGCTGGGAGGGAAGACAAGCCAGATACACAAACAGCTATAACAGCAATCTGGAATGATAAGGTGGCAGGAGAGGAACAGATAAGGGCCATTGGAGGACAGAGAACAGGAGACAACTTTCGGCTCAGGGAAGAAGAGGGAACTGAGGGAAGAGGTGGAACTGGAATAACAGTTTGGGTTCAGCAGGAAAAGGGAAAAGCATTCCAGGCAGAGAAAACTGCAAGAGCAGATGCTGAGGGGAAAGGCACATGCACAGCGGACTGTAGCTCAACTGTCTTCTGGCCACAGAACTGGGTCAAGCAGCAAGCAGCGGGGCATCACGAAATTAGAGCAGGTGCCTCCCACGGCCTCAGCTGCCTCCAGTCACCCCCAGGTCAGCCTCAGACCTCTGGCCACCCCAGCCCTGTGGGTCCAGATGGTGAAGGCCAGCTGAAGGCAGGTGGCCTACACTCTGAAGGAAAAGAGGAGCTCCTTGTGACTTTTTTTTTTTTTTTCTGTCCTTTTTGAGACTGGCCGCACCGCGCTCAGCCAGTGAGTGCACCGGTCATGCCTATATAGGATCCGAACCCGCGGTGGTAGCGACGCTGCGCACCCAGCGCCGCACTCTCCCAAGTGCGCCACGGGCTCAGCCCTTCCTTGTGACTTTTGAGGAAGGGAGTGACATGCTGAAGGTTAACCAGCATATTTATACGTGGCTTGGCCCTCCACAACCTGCCCTTCACGTGCAATGTCTCGGTAGGTTCTCCACAGGCATTTCCTTAAATGTCTGCCATGGTAATCCCACCACGGAGAAGTGAGGCACAGGTTGGCCAGGAGGTGGGAATCTCTGCAGGGTGCCAACATGAATATTTCCCCTTGGACAAGGAGAAATTGTGCTGAGAATGTTTCAGGTTTGGTTTAAAATGTACAAGGCATTAGAGAGAATGTCACATGGTCAGCCTGACCTAGCCATTGAAGTGTTTAATTTCTTACATATGTGACACTGGATTGCTCCAGGATAGGTAAAATGTTAGCACCAACTGTAATTTAGGTCTCCATCCTTGTGATAGGCTGTGAGTGATAACCCCCATTCTAGGTGACAGCCTTGGGAAACTGCACAACGGGGTAGAACTGCTGCTGGCAGACAGAAGCTGGGAGGGGGGCTGAGTCTGGTCCAGGGGACCACACCATGCTGTTTTTTTTCAAATGTTGTCCAAACCCCCATCAAGAATGGACAACAGGGGTTGTGTCGCATTCTAAGATCCCCTCCTCTGGCAGCCACTGCCACCACAAGGGAGAACCTGCAACTGTGCAGCAGGTGGCCTGGGACCAGGGACAGGAGAAGTGGATGGCAGATGCTGCTGCCATGATTTTTTTTCCTTTCCTTTGTACTCATGACCCCAATAACCTCTTTTCTGTTGTAATAGTGTTTTTCTTATATGTGGGACCAGGATGAGCTTTGATGAGCCATCTCCTCTGGCCCAAATGTCTTTAGCCAACTCATCTTCCCCATAGAGCCTCGCAAATCTTACCGAGTAGGTAGCCCAGGAGTTATAATGATCCTCACTTTACAGAGAAGAACTGTGGCCAGCTAAGGTAAAGTGAAGAGGCCAAGGTCTTGGCTGGAAAATGCTAGAACCTGAGGCTCAAATACATGAGACCCATGCTCGAGGGGCAGACTGAAGGCAGCAGGATAGAGGTCAGGTGCATGGAGCCTCACACATCCCCCTTCCTCCTGACCATCACCCATAGGACCTCCTGTCAGAGCCCACCAAGGTGTGAGCCGAGTGCGCTCTCACCAGGCATGCAAAGAAACAAACAGGACCACAGCCACTACAGAGGTGGGGAGTCCACAGAGGAAGAAGAGAAAACCCCCAATCTGACCCACCTACAGGGGGCATCAACAGTCCCCTCCCCATGTGCTTATGAGCACGATTCCACCCTAACCCCACTCTTCAGAGTAGCAAGAAAGGGGATGGGATAGCAGTGGCTGGGAGTGTAGGCCTGGGAGACTCAGACACAGGGCCCTATCGTGACCCTATGCTCCTAGAGCTGAGCATCCCAATAGGGTAGCTGCCAGCCACCTGAGACTATGTAAATGCATGGTAACTAAAACGAAGTGAAACTAAAAATTCAATTCCTCAGTCTCTCTAGCCACATTTCAAGTGCCCAGTAGCCATATGGCTACCATATTGGACAGTGTACATATAGAACATTTCCATCATCGTGGAAAGTGCTATCAATCAGTACTGCTCAAGAGCAATTTGCTAAAGCTTTCCCAGTCCCAGTTTCTTCACCTGTACCATGGGCATAATAGTAGAACATAACTCAAAGGGCTGGACTAAATGTCATATGTACTGGGCCTGGTACATATGAAGCCCTGAGTAAATGCTAATTTGTCACTTTATTTTTAACTGCGAGTCACACTAAGTTTATTTGCTTCATGGGTGAGTTATTTTCCATTACTTTAAATCACTTGTTCCTTATAACATTCCTAGGCAGCTTGTAGATGCTCAATAAAGGTTACTGGTCTGGTGCTGGTTCCATGTCACTGTGCTCTCCCATTTTTGTCATCCCATCTGCAAAATGGGACTATTGCCACCTGTCATATGTCTCTCCAAGGGATATGGATGGTGCGATCTAGCTCAAGGGAAGAGATGTGAAAGGGTTTGGAAAAAGGATATGGCACTCTCCAAACAGAAGAGACTGTTTAGAGAGATGCACAGCACTTGGCACAGGTCAGTGCTTAATCAATGCTTGTGTGATAGATGCGGGTGGCAGGTGAGAACGCTCCACTTCAGTTAAGCAGCTTTCTCACACTGCCCAGCCACCCACCCCAATCCACACACCCCCTTTTGGAAGAATGGCTGTGGTCTCAGCAGAGTTATTCAGTGGGCTGGAAGGGAGGGTTGGGGTGGGGTTGCCAGAGCTAGTGAGGACCAGGCCCTGCCAGCACAGACCCTGCCCCCCAAACCGCAGCACCCAGGGCTGCATTCTCTAATTACACATTCCCCAGTTACGGTGGTTCCCACCAGGAATTAAGATCTGTGAGCTCTCAAGAGCAGGGCCTGTTGGGATGGGCACCCCAAGAGGGCGCTGGGCAGCCAGCCCTGGTTACTATGGCACTGGGCAGGGGGAGGAGGAGAAGCAAGAAAGGGAGGAGCTCCACAGAAGCCACTTCCCACAAGACACCATCCGCCCCCTCCCTCCACCTGCTCCCCTCTGCCCCCACAGCCACACTGCTGGATACCCTCCCCCAGCCCCACACCTCACTTCCTACAGCTCCAGGCCTGGGACCCCCTCCCTTGCCAAATGTCTGTGCCACCCACTGGTTCCACCCACTCCTGCTGCTTTACAGCCCACTGGCCCCTGTCCAGCTACTCCGGACCAAACAGTGCCTTGTAGGGTAAGAAAATCAGCTTCTTTAATGAAAGCTACATCTGGAGCCGCATCTGGACCCACGTGCCTCCTGCCCTTCAGGCCCTGGAGCCCTTGAGCCAGCCTGACTTATAGGGGCTGCCTGCTTGCTGCAATGCCTGTTGCAATGGACTAACGCAACAAAGGCTTTCTGGCTCCCCAAGGTGGAGGAGGCACAGAGATATGGAGACAGGCAGAAGACACAGGGGCTGGGAAATATGCAGGGGCTGCAGGGCTCACAAGGGCAGGGGTGGCGTTCCCAAGGCACAGACAGTGTGAAGAAAGGGGCAGAGAAGGATAAGGGGCTTCCCAGATCTTGGAAACCTGAGCTCGTCTGCACATCACCCCTTAATAACAATAACAACTAACATTCGTCTACAGCTTTACAGTTCATAAAGCTCGTTCACACATTTGCTTTCATCCGTGAGGATGGCATAACTATCTCTGGTTTACAAATAAGTAAACTGAAGCTCAAGGAGGCTCACTGTGGCAAGCACAGAACTCACAGTCAAGTGCTGACAGCTGCCTCACCCCAATCCGCCTTCCCAACCTAAAAAGGCTCCCAAATGGCCCTGAGCCAGTATTGGGGCACCCTCCATGCACCTCCCACCAAATCTCAGACCAAGTCGAGTTTTGACCAGAGTCCTGGAGCTGGGCCTGGGCCCTGTAAGGGTAGCTGGGAGCTGAGTCAGAGGCCAGATCCCAAAGGTGATGGTAGGACGGAATCATGTGGTGGAGGGATGGCTATGATTCAGTGCGGTGGGAGGGGCAAGCAGGACAGAGAGGAAAACATGGGCTCCTGGGAGGACATGTGAGCTGAGCAAAATGAAGACCTGCATTCCACAAAGCCACATGGTGCAACTAAAGGGTCTACATAGCACAGGGACAGAGATCAGACACCACCAAGAACTCCCTCATCATGAACGTGCTGAGGCCCTGGGACCAGGCACACAGGCTGTCATCTTGTCCCCTGTAGCACTTACGTGAAGAAAGGAACAGAACAGCATGTGCTATTCCTCCTTCTGGCATGTCTGGCTCCTCCTCCTGCTGGTCTAAGTCCCAGTCCCAGCCTCTTTCAGGGCCCTGATGTCTCTCAGTGCAGGTATCCAAGAACACTGACCAACTGCTCATTTGTTCTAGGCCCTGGATTCACCTGTCCTGCACTGTCCTCCAACCTAGATCCTCTGATCTAGGTTTGGTCACCCAGGGGTAACCCCCTCAAGGGATGAGTCTCTGTCTTTTCCTTCTGTCCCAGCCTCTCCCATCCTCACTCCCCAACCCCACTGCCCAGGGTCAGCACCCTGTCAGGCCCACCAACCTGAAAGGGTTGAACTGCCCGTGCACACCAACCCTGGTCCAGCCCTGCCTGAACCAGAAACTGGACTGAAACTCAAAGGAATTAGCCCACCACAAAGTAAGGGCTTTCACAAAAATAGAAAACAAGGCAGCCTCAGCACTGCCATCTCCTGAGAGGTGCTCTCAGCTGTACCCACTTTACGGCTTAGGGCTCAACAGAAGGAGGGGGTAGGAGGTTGTGGCAAGGGAAAGCATGTCTTTTAACTAGTGGGGGAGGGGGGAAGGCTGTCCCATAGAAGAAATGATCTCAGAGGGCTCCTGGTGGCTCTTAAGCTCTTGCAGCTGAGAGATTTTTTCTTGGAGACTCAAGGACAATTTGCTTTTCCCACAGGACCCTGTTCAGGGAAATGCCATGGGAGGATGGCATTTAGAGGATGTCTAAAGACAAATTTCACTGACTTCATGAATTGGCCAGCCTGGTGTGTGCCTTGGGAATTTGGCCCCTGCCTGGAGGCCAGGGCCATTTAGAATGCTTTCACCAGAGCAGCCGACATATGAGAACGAACTGTGGACTCTGGCTAAGAGCCTGGCCCATAGCCTCAGAACCACCGAGAAGGGTCATGGGCTCCCCTACCTGGTCTCACAGCCAGTGCAGCAGCACAGCTGGCCTGGCCCAGCTCATTGGTGGCGGTGGCCATATAGATCCCGGCGTCAGCTGCCTGGGCCTCCCTGAGCAGCAGCGTGTGCCGCTCACCCTCAGCCCGGATGAGAAGGCGGCCCTCACTGCGTAGCACTGACCCATCTTTGTGCCAGGACACTGTGGAGACATGGGAACCAGCTCACCATGGCCCACAGGGGCCACTGAGAAATCTCATCCCCATGACATGCACCACGCAGGAGCCCAAATCACTCCTCTCCCTGCCCTATGAAACTCCAAGCAATCTGCACTCCCCTCTCTCAGGGGGTCCTGGGAAATCTCCCTACATGCGCGCACACACAAACACAAACACACCACACACATACACACACACTCAGGACAGCCCCCATGGAGGAGATAACTCCCCTCCCTCCTTCCCCACTCCCAACTCCCTCCAAGGATTCTGGGTGAACCTTCCCTTCCCACCCCACCCCCAACCTCAGCCTGGCCCCAGTCCTGGAGCTCACCTTGGGGTGGGGGGTTGGCGGTGATGATGCACTTGAGTAGCACGTCGGCCCCTGGTACTACTACCACGTTCTGCAGAGGGATCTCAAACACAGGGGCCTCCAGTGGCTCTTCTCCAGCAGACACATAGGAGTCATCTGAAGACTCTGACAGACACAGGGGTGACAGGGTAAGGGAACATGATCCTTGTGGGGATGACTCAGGAGGAGAAAGGGCATTGACAACCTCAAGTCCTAGAAAGCCAAAGCCAGAGAGAAGGGCTTCTAGAAGGCAGGGGCTGGTGGAACAAAGAGTCTCTCTCGTGAATGTCTTGAAGCCAGAGAGTTCTCTAACAGAACAGAGTAGCCATGGCTCCACACTACTTGTTCCTAAACTTCATGTACAGTTAAGAGTGCTGGTTTCAGGGACTGCGCCATGTATGTATTCACATAAACCAGTCGGCATGTATGGCATACCAAGTCCCGTGCGAGGCACTCTGAGGGACACAAGACTGTAACACACTTCCAAAGGGACAGAGGACAAGCTAACAGCAACTCAAGACTTAAGCAATAATAGTGGTGTCACAGGGCAATGTGCAGTAAACTGTCAAATTTATGATGCCCCCAGACTCAAAAGAGGGAGCGGCAGGTAGGTCAGAGGGGCCTGTGAGGTCAGCTTTGGTCTCATCCATTCACCAGTGACACTGCACTTACTGCACAGTGAGCACTGTATGGGCCCCAGGGATACAAAAGGAGATGGGATGTGGTCCCTGCTTACAGGAAGCTCATACACACAGAGATAATAAAACTCCGATTTCATGGATCTCTCAGATATTTTCCAACTCTGACATTCTACAAGCTACATAAAAGACAACACGGATAGCCAAAAGAGCAATGAGAATCCCAATTCTGATGTTTTCTAGCTACATGACCTTGGGCAAATCAGATAACCTTGCTGAGCCTCAGTTTTGTCATCTGTAAAATGGAAGAGATAACACCTAATGTTATGCAGAACTGGCATTCAGACTGCAGTGGCATAATACCCCCAAGGGCCTAGTTAACATGACCTCTGGGATATGGTTGTGAGTATGCAATAATGACGGCTAGTAGGGTGATGGATCTCACCATTTCTAAAGATTACAAGGTGGTAATAGTTAAATGCAAAATAATTCTGATGCAGAAAAATACAGGGTGGTAAGTGCAATGAAAGAGATACTGGCAGTGTGTCCAGGTGCAGTGAGTAGAGTCATCTAGCCTGGAGAAGCAGTAAGGAGTGGAAGCAAGCCAATGATGGCTTCCTCTGCTTCTCTCCAGGAGTGTGCCCCAAGCTGATGTTCAGAGTTAAGGGCGGGAGCATTCCCCTGTTGGTGATGTTGGTCACCACCCATGGGATGGCTGGGAGACAACACACAGGCTGGCATGTGTAGGGACCACCGTCAGCTCAGCGATACAGGCATGCAAGGATGGGAGAGAGGAGCCTAGAAGGGGAGGGTGGGTCAGATCATAGTGGCCACAGAGGCGTCAGGGGATTGGTGCCGGGATGAGAACAGAATAAAGAGTTAGCTGGCCCAAAGCTTGCCTGTAACAGAGACTTGACAAATTATTTGAGACCAGCTGCCACCTGTTCTCCCACAGAGGGATGGGGGCTGTGGAGGGGCTCCTTAGGTTGCACCAGTGCCTCCCCCCATTGTTGGTCCTTGACCCAACAGCTTAGTAGGTCACTGGACCCAGGGGACCTATGGCAAGCATATGAGCACCAGTCTTTGTTCACACCTCAGCTCCACCCAGCTCCCAGCAAAACACACTCACACTCCCCTCACCAGCGGCAGGTTCTAGCACAAACACCTTCACAGTCCTTCGCTCTAACTCGAGCCTGCCCCCGTGCCGTCTCTGACAAACCGCACCCTCGCAGCCCCCCACGCCAGGCTGAAGCTCCTGCCGAGCAGACTTGCTCTCCCCAAACGCCCTCCCCACCAGTTCCGGGCACCTTCTAGGCCCTCCCGCTGGCCTTACCGAGCTCAGGGGAGGTGGGCCGAACCCGACGACCTTTGCCCTGGCTGCGGGGACCTCGGCGGTCCCAGGCCCCCCAGGGACCGTCCTCCTCCGGCCCTCGGCGCAGCCTCTTCTCCGCCTCAGGCCCCGCCCTGTTCTTCTCCAATGTCTGGAGCACAGCAGCGCCCTCCAGGCCCGGCGTGGCCCAGGGCAGGAAGCGCACGGCCTGCGCCGGGGGCTCCCGCTTCCGCCCCGGGGGGCCTTTCGTCCTGGCCTCGGGGGGATCGGCAGCGGGGGCCGGCACAGGGCTCCGGCACTCCTGGATGGCTCTGCCCCGGGTCAGCGGGAACTGGTCCCGGCGCCTAACCTCCTGCTGCGGGCCTTCCCCCGACTCCGTCCGGCCCACCGGTCCGCGGCTCCGGGGCCTCCCAGGCTCGTCCTCGGGCCTC